CTCTTGGCTCCAGCGCTTCAGAGAGGGCGCTATGTTTCGGGCTTGGCACACGGGCTACCTAACACGCATGCCCTAAAACCAAACCCCCTCATGGAACCCGCACAGAACCCTGTGCAGCCAAGCATCGTTGGTGGTGACTGGTTCAAGCACGGGTGTTCCTCTTCCGCCTCAGAAGCTCTCATGGTCGTCTACGGGTCTCATGACTGGTCGTTGAAGGATCATGAGGAATCGTTAATGTTAATAGGGTGGTCAGGATGCTGTTGTAAGGTTGGGGATTTCAGATTTAAGCTTGTGATTGTGGCTTTGGAATCTAGGACTTGCAAGTTTAGACTGTGGTGAGGCACGAGACAGAACTGCCTGGCCATTTTTGGGAAGCTCGCTGCAGACATAAGCCTCTGCATTCATTTAGCAGGAGGAAGCCAAGACAAGGGAGGGAAAACTCGTGGCTTGAACTGAGAATGGTATGATAGTATAGACACCAGATTATAGCCCTTGCTGCAGGATTACGCTCTGCAACGGAAGGTGGGCTAGGAGGCACATCGGGGCTTCCTTCGAGACTCAAGGGCGTCTCATTGCAGGCTTGTGCCATGGAATGCTTCACCCAGGCGAAGCATTCCCTGAAAACTCCAACAAAAGCTACCACACCCTAGTCCATACACCCACCCCCTAAACCCTAAACCCTGAGAACTTCGTAAAACCTGTACCTGTACAAAACGCCAGTGCGCACGAGGCTTCAGGAACTAAGAGTGCCTTCTTTAACTTTGTCAAGATTAGGGACCCTGGACTTTGGGGGTAACAAGGCCCCCTTTTTCTCTCAACCTCTTAAGTAACGGCAGCCTGGTCCTGAGAATCCCGGAGCCGTGCACACCACCGCATCCAAGCGGTTTCGGGGTTTACGGGCTTACGGCTTTGTGGGTTTAGGGCTTACAGGTACGGAAGGGCTTCAGGGCTTGAGGGTTTTAGGTTTTGGGGCTTCGGGCTCAGGGCTTAAAGGACTACTAGGGCTTAGGATGCCGTGGTGCCTCAAAGCTTTTAGACTCTCAGCCGTACCCGTGAGAGTAGCGCAACACAAAAACCGAAACTGAAACCCAGCGAGGTCAAGGCACCGGAAGACCGAAGGAGTCCTTGCGAGAGGATGGGATCAATTCTCGGTGCTTCGCCTTTAAGCCACAGATTTTGGGGTCGATGGGCTTGGGATCTATAGGGCTGAAGGTTTACGTAGAGCCACCAGAGTTTCGGCTTGGAGGGTTTGAGTTCGCAGTTGGTCTCTTCATGGTCCCTGTGAGGCTGCGAAATTCCACAGCCCAGTGATAGAACGGCCGAGTGTAAAATTCCGACACCAGAGGGTTTGCGAGGCTGCAATAGTTACGGAACACCTGCACGGCTGCGGAGCTCTGAGACAGTTCAAGCTTCTTGAAGCCACCTGAGCAGGCTCGACCCCATGCCCTCCCAAGCCTGAAGAGATTTCCGATCAAAGCATCTGAGCCTAGACACCTGTAGACTACAATCCGAAAGCGCTAACGCCAAAAACCAAACCCGAAAGCTTAATCTCGAAACCTTCTAAGCCCCCGATAAAAACACACAGAAATAATAAAGACCCGTTTCGAATGACAAGCTCTCAAACATTCCGCCTTGATACGTAAAACACCCCCATCCCCGAGAGAAGTAGAGTCTCCTTGCCGGGATCCTGCTCCGGGCTCGGGGGCGGCGGGCCAACGCCTTCGCAGAGTTGGAACAAAGACACAGAGGCAAAGCATGCATGCATAATCTGTATACGTATAGATATCTTTTTTGTATGTATGCATGTACACATATATTTGAGCCCCTGTGAGACGATTGCAGGAAAGCACTCAGCAGAACTAAGCAGAAGCTCATGCCACCTCGACCTCGAGGCGATGCAACGTCAGTGGGCGGCTGTCGCGACTGCCACCTTGACGATCAAGGGGCCGTTCGACTAGAATAGGGTTTGGAGATTTTGATCTGCATTTACAGGCTTTGGTGGGGTTTGTCAGCGTGCTGTACAGGCCCACAAAAAGCCGTGTTCTTGGTTATGATATACGGGAACCCGCGAAGGAATGGCACTACAAGTACAGTATACTCGAGCGCCTGTTGTATGCATCACGGCTTCTGGGTTGTCATGTCAGGGCTCACAAGCTTTGTGACTTTGAAGCCTGAGTACCCATGCATGTAGACGAATAGATATATGTACCATATACATATGACATACGTAGAACCCGAAAGACCAAGGAGATCCTGATTATCAATGCTATCCACCAAGGCCAGCCCAATTTTCAGAAACCAGGATCACCGTGGGACAATACCGAAAAAGAGCTTAGTTATACAGACTCTCACCGTACCCTGGCATCGTCACAGGCTGTTTTGTTTTGATCAGCTGCTTTGTATAAGCCCTAACCTTTGTGTTTAGGCCCCGGGTTCGCGCAAGGCGCTCAATCGACAACAGCCAGAACCGAACGAGTCCCCCACCAACCCGAAACCAGAAGTTCACAAAAAGTCCTTTTATGCGAACTTCAGAAGAAAGTACGCATATGGACCCTGCAAGCTCCTTGACCTCATGATCCGCAGAAAGCGGCTGCCGAAATCGCCCACGAAAGAATCCAGGATCCTTGAAGATGATCCAACAGAAATCCGCTATCCTATGTTAACCTTGGCAGATGCCTGCGATTGACACACTCACCATTGAACCCAAAAGTGGGAATGCTCACGACAACAGGAGAGCCACGTGCAACTCCAAATAATCAAACCGAAACCTCTCCAGAATGACATGTCAAAACAAGCTCAAAAGCAAAACTGGAGCCCAAGCAGGACTCGAACCTTCCCTTCACCTCCTCCCAGCCCCTACAAGAAGAACAGGAGGGCTCAGAGCAGGGTTTCGGGAGTCTTAATCTTAGAGAATGAGGAACTTGAAGGACTAATGACCTAATGAAATGAAATGATGCAGGCCCCGACAAGATCCTGTACAAGCCCTTTAAAGCTGATAAACCCCCTAGAATATCTCAAGGAAACCCCGCAAAAAAAAAAAAAATCATGGGAGACCCGTCTTCAATCCGACAACCACGCTGCCTAAGCCTAAGGCCACGTCTGTGACAACCCAGTGACAGCTCCGCCGGCGTAGAACGCGCACCACCCAGCCCTTCCGACACCATGGGACCCCTGGGCTCCTCCGAGTCGCTTCGAAAGTGCGGCATTGGGGTTTCAGGGTCGACGGGTTTGGAGCTCTGCAGCTCCACAAGACTGTTTGCTTGCGTTTCTACCGGAAGAAAGGTTCCTATGTTTGGGTGTTTCTAGGCTTTGTAAGGCTCAGGACTGTTCCGAATTTGGGCGTCTACTTGTTCTCTTTGCAGAGGTGCTGAAAAACGAGGTGTCGGGCTTCTCGTGCCAAAGTCTGAACCTGTGTCAACGAGTCCTCGAAGGCTGCCAACACCTTAGATGAAATAGCTGCTGCCTGGGCCCTCCCATGGAGCTCTTCGACATTATGCGTTCCTTTTAATGTCCGTCCGCTGTAAACAGCAGGAACGACGAAGACTTTTGGGAGGCTGCAATCACAAACGCCGAACCGCAAGGCCTTGAATCGTACATGCCGTGGTCCGGGTTGCAAAACCCTCTACACCTACACCCGCAACCCCCAAACCTCCAAGCTCACGAATCGAACCATTCAGTCATATTCTCCAACCTGCAGAAACTGTCTTGCCGTCAACTCCTGCATTTCATTGGAGTCGCATTCATCACGAAGCTGCTCCTTGTAGGGAGTAGTATAAGTTCTGAGTGTTGACAATGGAGCGGTTTGGCTCATTTGCTGCGTTGATGCCAGAGCTCCATAACTTGCAGCAGGGTCTTGGAGTGTACCATACCATCTTGTAGGGCATGATTGAATAAGTACGCAGACCACTGTTTTCAATCAAACACTCCTGTCCCGTTCGGAATAGTTGGGGAAGTTCTTGTTGGGTGCTGCTTCCGAAACTGATCCAAGAGGCTCCTTATTCAGGGCGTTCGTGTTTGCGTGGGGGTTTTGGATTCACTAGTTGAACCCTTTGGGGCGACAAAGAAGGTGGAATACAGGGGCCTTAGATTGCGGGCCCGGGTGGTAAAATAGCATGCCGTTACATAGCATAGCAAAGCATAGCATGGCACGGCATGGCGTAGTACAGCACAGCGCAGCATCACATTGCATAGCAGCAGTACAGTACATAGTTTCAAACTCGAAGTAGGGTTAGGTAGAGTTTATGGTACATACGAGTAGCATATAGTATAAAGTATACACACATAGCTTGTAGCATAAGAGTGCAAAAGACAGAGCATAAAGCATTGACGAATGCATCAAAGGTATAATACAGAGCTTGGATTATAGAGTAGACCTTTGAGTATAGAAGAGAGAGTATGTCGTACATAACATTTATAGAAATTACAAGGCATGACGTCTCCAAAAAGTATGTTTGTACTGTAGCACTCCAGCTTATTCGGACTATGCTGGCCTCTATATATAATACCAGCAAACGGAGACTCCGCCGTCGTGCAGTGAAGCGGCGAGGCCTCTTACATGCATAGGTCTGACCAACGTGTACTAAGATTGCTTCATGGGCGCTGGATAGCGGAACTATACCCTATCCTCTAACTATATACTGGAGAATAAAGAACTGTACACTTTGTACTATGTAAGGTACATGCGGTATAAGGTGGTATATGATGCAGTTTACAGTTGTCAAAGTGCTTTGGGCTTCAGGTTCGCCAAGGCTTTGCCCTGAGTGCATCCTAAACCCTAACTCTAATACTTACACCCAAACGCCCCCATCCAATTTGCGAAACTCCAAGCCCTGACTTCTCAAGCCTTCTTGCGAAAGCACAAACGGCAACTCCTACGCCTCAGGAGTGTAAAGTTTGCCTTGAATGGGCGGGCCCTGAAACTGTGGGGCATTGGGCCTTTGGGGTCTTCTGGCCTTGGAGTTGAGGTGCCGATGCCGGGATTCAAGCCTCACTGCCGTCAACTATATAACAGTTGGGGTTCGCGGCTTTGGGATCTGAAAAACCTCCTCGACAAACCGAGCGTCGATGTCACCATATCCAGAATCCAGAACCAGCAGCCGATAATCCGTGTCCATCTTCACGTTGGGGACCTCTGACGCTCGTTCTCTCGCTCTCACAACCCGGGTCCAAGCCCGGTCCCAGGAATCTGACGCCCTGATTGAAACAAACTAAACCAAACTCGGGGTGGGTCGATTTTGTGTGGCACTTCGTGAAGCTACAGGCTCAATGTCGTCTTTCGAGCCAACATTTGGGCCATCTTCTGACACCCGAAGGCTGACAGAGACTCTCCACCAAAGAATTGTGCATTTTTCTGTTTCCGCTCCCGCCCTAGAGGCCTCGGGGAGGGCTCATTTGAGAATTTCTAGCGTATGTGTTTAGGGCTTTAGGGTTTCAAGTCTGCGGGTGTAGGTCTCAAGGATTCAAGGCTTTGGGGATTAGGGCCGAAGGGTTCGGGCTTGGCTCGAGGTTACATGCCCTCGTACTCAAAAGCCGACGGTATCCCCACCCCATGCGCCAAAGCCCAAATCCCTAAACGGCCTAGAAATGCCCCAGGCCCTGATTGTTACTGATTGTTCCTGATCCCTGAGCCGAAGCTCCACAACCCGTCCCTAAGCACCTGGGAGGCCATTGGGAGGCAGAAATACTCCAACTTGGCATTGAACCTTCGAAATGTGCTTTTGGCTGGAAATCAGGGATCCCTTCCGGGGGGTCCTTGCATTGATGCTTAGCAGGACTTTGAAGCTTTCATTTTTGAGTCTTCGGGGCCCCCTAGATGCTCTTTTCTGAAGTTTGAGCTGCCTGAAGGATCGTAAAGCCAGGGCCCTGCAGCCAGAGTTGAACTGGGAAGTGCATGACCCCTGAAACCCAAAGCCCAGGCGTAACGACCTGAACCTCAAGAAACAATAAGACCCGGTAAGTTCGGTGAAACTTCAAGGCTCAATGCTGCCAGTGGGTTCAGGAGTTCGGGTGTTCGGCCAGTGGAGCTGGAGCTTGAAGGTACAGGGCTTCGGGGTTTGGGGCTTTGGGTTCTGGGCGTGGGGGCATTTTCGGATACCTGGATTGCAGGTGCTTCAGATTGCTTTGTTGGGCCTCGGACTCGCAGTTCAGGGCTTCAGAAGTCTATGACGGCTTTATACAGCTTGAAGGCTTCATAGGGGCTCTGTAAGTGAAGACTCTCAGCATAAGAGTTTCTATACGAAGGCTTTCCGCTCAGAGGCAAGTGGATTATCTCTACTTTCCCATCTCTCATCCCTACAGAACCTAAATAACGCAGAACCACTCAACCGTCAACATTGTGGCAAAGGGAGGGTGCTCCGGGTTTTCGTTTCGACCAAGGGCGGAGAGGTTGAGCTCAGGTTAATCTTTGGGCTTTAGGCTATTCTTTGTCCGGTCAGCACAGCGAAAGGCCACGAGCATTTAGGGCATGCGACTTGGAGCTTCAACCCCAGGATTCAGCCCGGCTGCCGTATGAGGAATGCTTCAACCACCAGACCCGAAACCCTAAAGCCCTATCCTAGATCCTAGACACGAGACCCTAAACCAAAATCCGAAGTCCGGGAACCGGGCCTTTCTCCTCGAGACAGATCCTGGAGGCTCTGTCACCACTCGATCCCAGAACAAGCCTCAAACCCTCAAACCCTACCGTGCCCAGAACCCCAACCCCAGTTAAACCCCGAAAGGAAAATGAAACAGTAAATCTAAACTCCCTCAGCCTACATAGTTAAACGCCCCAAAGGCGTGCATTGAACCCATGTAGAACACATCCTGGCGGGAGGCTCTCTTTGCATGTCGGCGACCGGAAGGTCATTGGAGTCATCGCCAAACGGCTGATCGATCTCCTGTGCGATGTAGAAGAGAGTCCTGCTCAAGCAAGCTCAGGATCTAGGCTGAAGGTTTCAGGGTTCAGGGCCTTCAGGGTGCCGGTTTTGCGCTGGGGCTTTCAGGGTCTCAGGGCTTGGCGCTGTGGGTTTTGGCACTGCTTCAGATCGGTTGTCTGCGCGGTTTTCTCAGCGCACCGCCACATCTCGTAAAAGGTTGCAGCTGCATGCCAGACGCTTTTTTCGTTGCGACCATCTCCTCTTCCTTCAGAGCCAGGCACTTTACACCCCAAAACCTTTACAGGAGAAACCCTCACAAGTAATGACCCTACAAGTTTCAAGTAACCCTACAACCCAACCGTAAGTCCGTAACCCTGAGCCCTAAGAGAAACCTTGAACCTTCGACCCAAACTGCAGACAAACCAAACTTACGCAAAAAGCTTGAGGTCGGGTTAGGGATTTAGGGTTTATCGTCTGGGGGGTTGGGAGTTCAGGGTTTACGGACTGAAGGCATAAGGGTTTAGGGTGCTGCGATTTAGAGGTTTCAGGGGCGAATTGGAGTTGGTATCCGCAAGAGCTCCTGGTGTTGAAACATCAGACAGCGAACCAGCTTCTGAATGTGCAAAGTATTCGGCAGCTAATCTGAGCCAGAAAACTACAGTACCCCACCCCCGACCGACCCCCACACCCCTAGACCGAAAACCCCAAATATCACAGCACAATCCAGATATCACAGCCACTTTCGGCCTAGAATCCTACCGCGAAATGAACACGAGAAAACTGCTACCAGTTCACGAAAGCCTATAGACCCTGAACCCTGGATTCGAAACCTTACAGTGTAAATCCTGCTCCTAACACCGTACTCCATAAATCTCAAGAAACCTCACACAGCTCCCCCTCCCTCTCCGAACAAAAAAGCAACCCCAAATCCGAAGTCTTGAACCCTAAACCTCAATCCTCAAATTGCGCTCGACCCCCATTTCTGCAAGCCCGGTCCAGTAGGCTGTGGACACCACAAAAACGATAATCCCAGCCCAGTACGGCTTTGCAATCACCTGTCAAGCTGCTTTCCAGGTTGATTATACTGGTGTCGATTTGGCTCAGGGCTCAGGGATCGTCGGACATCAGGGAGAGCTTGGGGCACACGGAGCTTTTGGGGCTTCGGTCTCTGTGTTGGCCTCGGGTCCTAGGGTTGAGAGCTTCGTTTCTTAGGGGCTCAAAGACCTTGGGGTTGGGGACAGAAACATGATTGACGCCTTAGGGCTTTAGGCTGCGCGTTGCTAGTTTTACCGCAAGCTGACTCCACTCACTCTTGCTGAGGAGCCTGCAAAGCCCTGAAAGACCATGAACCTCCAAACTGCTGGACTTAGATTTCAAGATGGCAGGCGTGTGCGCCTCTTGGGGCGCGAACCTGCCACAAAAACTTCTGACGTAACGAGGCCCTCGCAACCCCATCACCTTGATTTAAGGCGTTGAGGTTCAAGCTTTGGAGGTAAGCTTGCAGCATAAGGCTCACTAGGATCCTAGGAGAACTGCCCCTTGTCATCTCGAACGCACCGAAACCATGGTCTAGCCTAGCTTAAGCATCTGTAAGCCCCATGCAAAGATTTAACATACACCCTGAATTCCTGATCCCGAAACCCCAACCCAAACACAACCAAACCCATGAACCCCAGACCTCAAAACGATAAACCCTAGACCTGAAGCCCACCGAAAGCGCCTGACTTGCAACGATGGGAGTCAACACCCAGTGCGCCAGGAGCCTCATTGAAACAGCTGGGCTTGACGCGTTGAGTTTGGGTAGTTGGTTTGGGGGGTTTCGGGTTCGGGGTTCCAAACTTGGGGTTCAGGGTTTAGGATGGGTATCAATCAGATCTCTAAACCAGGGACCCGGCAGCCGTGTTCAACCTTCACCACCACCCCTCTGCTGTGGCCTTGAGGCTTTAGGATGTGGGGCTGAAAAGACTCAACCGTTGTGCAAGCCCTTTCCCTCCACTTCCTGCCACCCAGGGGGCATGAGGGAGAGGAACTGCGAGTAGGGGAAGGGAAAGGGGACGTCTCGGATCTTCCGCAGATCGGTCACGCTCACCATGCCTCAAATGCAAAGCTGTGGTTCAGGGTTCCTCAGCTTTGCTTGCAGGCGGCGTCTGGGAAGGGTTGGGTTTGTGCTTTAGGTCCCTTCACCCACACCCGGGCTGTCCGACGTTCCTCGGACTAGTTTGGTATCGGGTTTTAGGCATCTTTTCTGTGAATTTCCTCGGTCGTGTATCCCAAGTACATTGCGATCACCCGAGTACTTAGTGCTTAGCGTGCGAGAGCTTGCGGGGGGCAGAGGTTGTCTTGAGGGGGAGGTCGCCAAACTGCCTTGAGATCGATGCCATCACTCTTGTGGCTGTTACGATGACGCTGATGACGATGAGCCATGACTGCCATCGGTAGCTGCGGCTCAGGCTCAAGTCCAACAGGATCGGAGCCGAAGATTGAACGGTTAATCCTGAAGCCTTGAAGCCTTCGCCCCTGACTCTTCGAAGTACACGTGGGCTCGGGCAGAGGCAGGCCTCAAAAGCGCCGAAACCTGAGGTCAGAATAGCCTGAAGGCCCGATCATCCCAGCAAAGAAACACGTGATGCTAAAATCCCGTCAAGACGTGAAAAGCGGTACACCTAGCCATTATGCGAGCAACTAACTCACAGACATATGAACCCCGACTCATGATCCAACATTACCTAACCACAAAACCTCAACCCCAAGCCACACGGCCCCGAGCACCAGCCCAGCCCCTCGATAACATATAATACCACAAACCCTAAACCCTAAGACCCCTAGACCTATACAAACCTCCATGAAAGCCAAGCCCAAAATCTTTAAACCGCCACACATACGCCCTTAATCCAATCCCCAGGCACTAACCTCCTAAACACCATGCATGGACCATGTATAGGTCTTCTGAACCCTTGTAAGACTCCATAATCCCGTATGAAACCCTATAGAACCCTGAGAAAGACCCTACGAACAGATCCTAAAGCGGTGCCTCGAGAGAGCTCTTGGAAAGCTCGGGACAGAATTGGCGCCGGGACATCCTCCAGCGCGGCTTCAGGGTTGCAGAGGGGAAGACGTGGAACACAGGTTTGCTAATTTATCGGTTTAATGGTGCAAGTGCAGTTTAGGTTGGGGACGGGTTTGCAGTTCAGGACCTGGTTGGCATAAAAAAAAACATTGAAAAAAGACCCTATCCTATGGTAACATAAACCTAAACCTCTGCATCCATAAGCCTTCAGGAGTGCAGGATCCCTAGCACTTCCAGCTACTGGCATCCTGTCGAGAACCTGCCCCGGAGGGCTTCAAAATGAAACCCTTAAACAAAGAGGTGTAGAGCTCCTCTGGGTATGGGTGATGGGTTCCTCTCGGCCCAAGGAAAGGAAAGCTTCATGGGTCTCGTCCGAGCTGCTAGCGTCTTGTCCCGATCTGCATCCAAGATGAGTCGCTCAATCCACAAAAGAACCGTCTCCGTCCTGTCTCGGCTTGGGACTTTTTACGGTTTTCTAGAAGTGTCTTGCAAGATCTGCAGGGGTTTATGCTCTTAAAGAAGTCTCCGAGGGTTTGTTGCAATACCTTAAAATCCTTGACTGAGGCTCTTACAGGTGTGTTACCCGAAACAGGTTTGGAGTGCTACGGTTTAGGCTTCTATCGAGGCCTTATGCATTTCAGGTTGCAGGGCGTAGAGGTTGGAGTTTCCGAGTTGACGTGGGGTAGTGAGGGTTCGAATCCAGGTTCTCGCGAGTGACTGTGCTGTTGTCTTTCTTGTCCTTGGCAATGCTGGTATCGTAGATGCGAGTTAGCTATGCTTCAATGACTTCGAAAAGGCCTTCTCAGGGCAACTCAGCCGATACGATAACGAAACCCATGGCCTCGAGTTTAGGGTATAGGGTTTTGATTTTTGTTTCCTGCATCCACAACCACAGCGCCGCATCCTTTTGACCCATCAGCACCCAGATCTGAGGTGAGATTTGCCAAGATTATGATGCTGATGATGGTGAAAACTTATCAAAATCATTAGCATCATCATCATCATCGATAAGCATGTCGGATAGGATCACGGACCCGGAAGCAAAACCCTGAAGTGCTCCACCTCGACGTCCTAACCTTCAAGCAGAAGCGCTGAAGAAAGTAAGACGGCCACCTATCCGGGCTGTTCTTCAGATGTAGCAAGCTCCGCTTGCTGAAGCCCCCGACCTATCGGTGCAATTGCGATGCATACGGAGCTCTGAGCAACATCACTGTATATCAGGCTAGGAAGGATGGACTTCAAACCGAGCACTCGGGTGTTTAGGGCTTGGTTGTATCCTGCACTGTCCTACCTGATATACCGTGCGAAATCAGCACAATCAAGGACCTGTCTCAGAATGCATGACTGTATCGACATTGCCCCATCACATACCCCAAAAAGACAGTCTGAGTATTTCCGGCCTCTTTATTCCCTCGAAGGTCATCTTCGAGAAGCTCGGGTTTGGGGCTTTAGGATCTTGCGGCGTTGAGGGCGTCGGGCAGGCGTTGAACTTTGAAGGGCTGCGGACGTGCTGCCTCAAATAAAACCTGTGTTGAAAACGGATGATACTGCGGACAAGCAAGGAGTTGGTTGGTCATGGCCTACATGACAGGATCTGACAACCTGAGGTAGGGAAGCCTCTGGCTGGCTTCAAACATGACATACAGCAATGACACCCAAAGCTTCACGCCAGGCACCACCTGTCCGTCGCTGTAAACGAACCTTACACATGGCCTGGTCTTTTCACCTGGAACTCTGTTGCTAGCATTGACCACGGGGGGCGCAAACCCAGAACCCGGTGCCTTAGGGAGAGCAGGTTGAAGGTCGAACCCTCCACCCCCCCAGACTCCCATAACACACAAACCCCACCCCAAGCCCCTCCCAAAACAAAAAAATGAAAGGCCGAGACACGTCCAAGATTTCAAGACTGTCGTCGGCGAGGTCTGAAGTGTTCTGCAGCGCATTGCAGTGGAGGAGGCTAAAGAGCCTGCGATGATGCTTTGCGGTGTATAGGCGCTGGCATGGGACTTCGAAACTTAAGAGAAGGTTTAGAGTCTAGAGTCTTCACGAGGAGATGGGTTTGGGGTACTCGATCTTCAGGGAATGGGGTTTAGGCTTTACTGCTTGGGATGTACGGCTTGCGACTTGGAACTTCTAGGATCGTGGGGTGTAGGGCAAGTTTACGGCATTCGGGGTCCGGGTATGAGGTGTAAAGGGTTTTGCATTTGAGGCTCATGTATGGGATGCAGGGGTAGGAAGGACCGTGATCACGACAATGAAGCACACACACTAGCCGTAATTATGGAGTTTGAGCTTCGGTCGTGAATGTCTCAAGCTAGCGTGCTGCTTCTTGTAGATCATGTGGCCGGCAAAACGTTTCAGAAATGCCGAAACGACGAACGAGCCGCATGGGGCGTTCAGGGCTTCCGGGCGAAAACTGGAGCATCCAACCCAGCAATGGCCACGATTCAAGGTGCAGCCCTGAACCTTAAAACCTCAACTGTAAACGCTAAACATTGTAAACTGCCGAGCCAAAAAGAACGTCGCTGCCACGTACAAAGCCCCACCCTTGTGTCTCGGTGCAAGAGTCGAGGCTCCTTAAGTTCAACACATCTATAGCTCGACAGCACCCCGTAAGCACCCCGACAGTTTTTGCCTGAATCAGCTACACGATTGATGTGCAGAGTCGCCTCATCAGTGCGAAGCGAAACTGAGCCACCTCCTCCTGAGCCAGTGTTGTTCATCTGTTGCCTTTCATGGCTTTTGTGCATCTTGGGTCTCGCGGGCTTCTTAGAACCACGGGTCCCTTTCAATAACGATGCCTCTCTCCGCAATTAGTGATCATATTGGGTCCGACAACTTCTCAAAAGATAGTACCCACCCCTAGCCCTGGTATGTCTTCCCTGTGCCCCATACCCCGAAGCCACCCAAACCTATGTGGATCGGTGTCCCTTCATCCATAGACCCTGCACCGCGAACCCTAAACAAATCCCAACCCCGTCCCTAAATCTTTAATCCAAATCTACACCCTATCCCAACAGCCCTTGATCCCCAAGCGCACATGCTCCATCCCCGCGTCTCTCCCGACAAACAACTCGATCTTCGAGCAGAGCTGCTGATTTCTCGGGTTTTGTGTTGCAAAATGCCAGCAGGTTGCCTGGTGAGGGTTTCGGGTTCAAAGCTTCGGGGCAGGGCTTTTGGGCCGTTGGGTTTAGGGATTAGGGGTCTGGGGCCTTGTGGGTATGGGGCTTATGCCCTGGGGCTGCTTGCTGAGTTTAGAGTTTTGGCGCTTTCGGGAATAGGATTCAGAGCTTCGGATACATGGTCACCATGTTTTTCCAGACTTCAGTCAGGAACCTGGTTCATGTTCCCCTCCCCGCTCAAAACCAGGAGGTTTCCAAATCAGGGGCCAAACATAAACAAAATCCAGGGTGTTGGGATCTATGGTGCAATTTTGAGGCATAGTAAGAACCCCTGTTGGTAACGCCTCAGGCACCAACAGTATACTGCATCAGTGAGTTTGCACCGGCTGGGGGTCGGGGGAATTTCATGTAGGTCCAAGGTTGTCGCAGAGCATCCGGCTCAAATGGTTTTTGCAATCGTCTCCGGGTCCCGTCGCTGTCCGAGTGCTCTCAGAAACTCTTTGCCCAAAACATGCGAGCTTCAGTTCGATTCAGGCAGCCCCAAGTAGCAGAAATGAAGTTCGCATGATGTTCAGGATGCTGGCTACAACAGCCTGCCAGAAACTTGGATTACCGCGTCAATGAGCTATGCGCGGGTGGCAACGACCAAGCTCAAACTGAAACACAAAGCGCCACCAAAACCCTAACAGCTAAATCCCGAATCGCTAGGACCCTATGTAATTTAAAGTCCCCAAGTATCGAACCCTATCAACGTCTGCTTGCGGCTTGTCTTGAACTCTCATATCGCCATCCGAATGCTATATGAGGCCTTGGCTGGCATGGTCCGTACTGTAAGGTTCGGGCTCAGTTAAGTTGAAAGAGGGCCCCTCTTTGTGAAACTAAATAGGCCTGCTGGTCAGAAAACTGCAGGCGCGCAAGACGAAGGTGCACCCGAAAAGCCAAATCCTGATCCCTAAATCCTGTACCTTATGCCCGAAGCCAGTTCGGAACCCAACTCTCGCACCCCAAACCCTGAACCCTAAACCGAAACCCAAACGCCTGCGCCCCAAAAGCGAAAAGCCCAATGCAGTAGAGCAAAAGTGTTAGGGCTTTAGCCAGGACGCTGAACGCACTCATCCATTCCCCACTGGTTTGATGAAACAAGGTCACCTTGGCTGGCGTGGGATTCACAATTTGGGGGGTTTGAAGGTTAGGGGTTTAGGGTGTAAGTTCAGGGCTTTGCGTTTAGGCGTTTGGTTAGAGTTATATCGAACAGTAAGCGTTTGGGCTTAAGGTTCAGAGTGCTCCAGGTACATCTGATGCCTGGCTTTCGCAACCCGTCTGCGGCTTCACAAGCCGTTAAGAAGGTACCGCATATAGCTATACGCTGATGGAGCAATTTTCAGCAGGCTTCGCAAAGGTTTGCAGCTCGATACAATCTTGTTGAGGGAACCTGCTGCAAAATGCTAAGTAGTATGTATCTGAGGCCTGAGGCTGAGAGACTGCCACTGGGCCACTGCCACGAAGCCCTAAATCGGTTCTAGGGAAGATTGGACACCCTCTGATCCTAAGACCCTAAGGCCTTCACCAGTAATGCTCGTGGGTTCATTACGAAGATCGAAGATGCCAGAGCCAGGACATTGGGCTTAGTAGACTTTCGGGGCCTCAGGTATTCGAGGTTTAATGCGTGACGGCTTGGCTGTGTGGACAGTGGAGTCCTGTGATTCCGGATCCCATCCACACGGACAAGTTTGTATGGAAGGATCAGCTAAGCCGTTAACGCTATGGGGCTCGATATCTTACAGTACGTCATGGACCATTTTTTGCCGTATGTGAAAGATGCGGCCTGTTGGGGTTAATTTGGTCCTTGAGGGAATTCGAGAAAGCTCCTGCGATCCGTGGGGTGCTTTCCCAGAAGCGCGAGTAAGCTTGGTTGCTACCTGAGAGCAGTTCACAAAGAAAAAACCCAGGAATCGACGGGTCTGGAGATCTAAAGTATCTAAAGCTCTCGATCCAACCTGTTACCTGCAGAAATACAAGCTATATATTCCGAATAGTTCGCCGGTCCGCTAAAACCAGGTCCGTCGTTTGGGCTCCCCAATGAGCAAGTCTCTCTTATGCCGTCCCAAAACATCCCGAATATCTTCTCTGATTCTTGAGGCCGCAGTGCTTGGGGTCACGGCACTCTGAATGTCAAGCCGCAGGTTTGCTTATCGCTTTTAACAAAGCTGAACCTGCATGATTTACCAGTGTCTTTGGTAGCAGTCCCAGCTTGCTTTGTAGAGACAGACTGTCGAAGCCGCTCAAAGAAGGCGTGTGGTGAATGGGACTTTCGGGTATCCAGGTCTTTAGTGGCTGCAGGGTTCCTCTGGGTTCAAATCGTTCCCGCTCCGCTGAGTTTTCCCTTGTCGGACTCGAAAGTGGAGCTGCAAAAAGACACTGCCATCGGAACCCCTAAACTAATTCGAGAGAAAACCTCAACATGAACTCAGGCAGTGGCCCTTGCCATCAGACTGGTGATACGTCTCTTTATTGACTTAGTCGAGCTACGCAGGGCCTAGAGGGATAAGATCACTGGCTCTGCGCATCGCCTATATAAGGGCGGTTGGGGATAAGAGTCTGCTGTCTGTTTCCTCGTTCAGCCAAACTGCGGAACACGATGAGGAAACCAAAAACGAAGGTAAAGCTGGACCAAATTTGGCCAAGTCCTGGCAGGTCTGGGTGCGAACATGGGGTTAGCACTCAGGGTTTCGGCTTTGCGAGCTAAGCTTGGCCAAGTCCTGGCACAAGTTTAGAAAGCCTGGGCTTGAAGATTAAGTTAAGGCTGAAGATAAGACCTGAATAAAGAAAACTTCCTAGCGGAGAGGGGTTCGAGATTGGGGGGGTGGCACCAATTCTGTCCAAGTCCTGGCACCAGATGCCCGAGCCTCTGCCCGGAACTGCCCTGTTTTCACCAACTCGAGTGGTATTTATTGGGAGTAGCGGCTCTCAGGGTTCATGTTTGCTAGAGTCCCTCCCCCAAGTGAAGTCTTGAGGGCAACATCACATTTCCCCTGTGGGCGATTTGAAGAACATGGCACTAAATCCAATCTCTCAGCCCGAATCCCGAATTCAGTTCCAAAGCAACAGCGTAGCTGAACACTATCATGACGATGTTGGGGCTCAGGGTTGCCGATGTTGGGCTCAAGGTCACAATGAGAACCTCACATATGTTGCTTTCGTTTCTGCTGATGGTCAGCTAGACTTTAGGAGATGATAAGTGTCGGGGGGTTGTCGGGCGAGGAAGGAAACCTCAGTCTTGGTAGCTTGAAATGACCTGGTTTTGGTTTCCAGGTTTCAGGGGATCCGAAACCCCCCTTATCCTCCGAAACCCCCCAACCCCCTAAACCCCCCCAAAGCTTACTGACACCCCCCAGACCTTGGTCGTCAAACGAAATTCCCAAACCATAAAATCGCCCTCAAAAGCTCCAGCTCCCAGTCTTCCTGCTGTAGTTCTACTGTATAGTACTGTCCACTACTATTGAATGACTGTGCCACTGGACTACTGGAAATGCAAACTTACTCCCCAACTACTACATTACAACTGCACTCCTACTTGGCAGCGTGCAATGTAAGCCCTTGCGAGCTTCTTGTTAAAAGCTCATCCTCGTAAAACCGTTGGGTTTGGGGTTCTGGCTCTTCATGCCGTGTCCCCGCGCTCCTTCCAGCTCCTGATTCTCCTCACCTGACAAGGGGTCTAGCCTAGTCCTCGCCTCGAACCCTACAGCACTAGGGAAGGCCTAAAACCCAATCCCCAAGCCAATGCCCAAACCCTGAAAAACGCGCGCAGGCCCAAAGCCCCAATCTATATGCCAAAGCCCAAACCCTAAGCCAAAGCCCGAAGCATCAGCCCCAAGCTAAAGCCCAAACCCACCAAAAGCCAAAAAGCAAACTATTGTCTCCAAGCCGAAGCCTACACACCAACACAACCTACTTCAAGCCCAAACCTCAGCCACAAGCCAAAGCCTCACCCTCATACAAAAACCCTCAACACTAAACCCAAAGGCCCTAAGGGGTTTAGGGACTCAGCCACCGAAGCCCAGCGAAGGCTGCAGTATTCTCGGTTGGAATTCTCTTGTGAGCTTCTGTGCAGGGCTCCCAGTACACCCCAGTCCCTGAATTCATTCCCCAAGCCGGAACCCCCTAAGTCCTAACACCTTAGAACTCCTGAAGCCCCGCACCTGACAACTACAATAGGATCAAAACCAAAGTATCAAGCCCTCCAGATTTACAGCGTAAAGAACGTTGTGAATGCCATAATGCCTCTGTCCTAAACCCTAAACTCCTAGACTCACTCCCTGAACCCTACAGCATCCTGCAGCCTACAGCCAAAACTCTGGCCTTTCAGTACGCCCCAGTGGAGATGCAGCAGTACCGTCGCCGCGGCACAAGGCAATGACCAGCAGATTGCCTTCGGGATCACGGACCCCCGCGAGAGACACAGCACCTCCGACAGGGATTTGTTCGTCACAGTAGGTTCACGGTCCATGGTGCATGTGGGTGTCTCTGTGTCGTCCGCTTTCTCTTCTGGCTCCTTTTTGTTCATAAGTCAATGGTCATCGAACTAAGCTGGTCCTGGTGTCGACCGCTTGGCTTTTTGACTGCAGGCTGCTAAGGATGCTAAGGCTGCTAAGGGTTTCTTCAAGCGCATTCTCGATGGTTTACGGCTTAAGGCCTAGGACATCCTAGGACCTTGGGTTTGTCAAGCACGGGGCTTCGGGAAGGGTACAGGGCCTCATGAAGAAACTCCTGGTTCTAAAGAAACCCTTATCTCATGCGAGTTCAGAGGCTATCGGTCACATCGAAATGCGAATATTTGTCAAACGATACATCATACAAATTCTAATCCGCAGTGAGGGAGAGAGAGAGAGAGAGAGAGAGAGAGAGAGAGAGGTGCAAGCACCACTGTCTAAAGTTCGCATCAGATCCATCTCAAATCTTCCAGGTCTTCTTGCATTGTGTCCAGCTATGACACGATGCTTTCCCACTCCGGCATCGGGACGGGGTCGGGCGGGTGGGAACAAAATGCTCTTCACCTCTTCCAGCCGGTAAGCCACATGCTGCATATTGCCATGGAAATTTCCGGACATCTCTTGAGATCAAGTTACATCTCACTGTTCAATGAGAGTGTTACCATGTTGTTAAACAGGCTTCGGAGCACGATTTCCTGTGCTTTGTGCGGAAGAGTGGGTCGGGCGGTTGTTATCTGCGGATTCGGCAACTCCAAATTCTGAAGATCGATCATGGGGCTCCAGTTAGGGTCTAAGCTGGGCTATAAGCACTTAATTGACCTCAGTCACTGCAAAAACCCTACTTGCAATTTGACCTAGCAAGTAAACCCTACTGATGCCAGCTGGAGAGGCTAGTGCGGAGGCATGAATTTTTCGCAGAAAAGATTGTAGACAGAGCCTCTGGAATCTCGAGCGGTTCCCACTTTACATCTGTCCTTGGAAAACGTAAACCATCTCCACTTGCCGAGGTATGCCCGGCCTTCATGCCCCAGGACCCGTGTCGATAATCGATCATGCCGCCGGCTTTTCGAACGGCGGCTACTTCTCAAAATTAAAAATTCCTTCGGCCCCCGGCCCATGACAGTGAGCAGAGACGGCTGTGTCGCTTGAGCGTTCGGGGACTGAGGGCTTGGGCTTAGGGCCGAGCTTTGGAGCTTCGGTCTCAGGAGGGTGGAAGTCGATGGGTTGAAGGGCATGTGACAAGGCTTCAAGGATGTTGCCGAAGCCAACCTCATCCAGACTCCCTGTAGTACGCCTTCAAGTGCTTTCCTAAACCCAAGCTTTAAGCTTACACCCTAAGCCCTGGACCCTATGCCCTAAGGCGCAAACCGTAAACTCTCCGTCCTGAAGCCTATTCAGCCCAGAACCCCGAGGTTTAAGCTCCGTATGGCTTTGGGCCTCTTTGAAGACATCTTACATGTTAGTTCAGGGTTGTTGGCTTTGCGAAGTTTCAACATGTGAAAACTAACCGTTGGTGGATGTACTTTAGGGGAACTTCAACCCCAATGCTCTTCTTTTCTTTTCTGTGTTGGCTCGGGGTGCGGACTCTGGGGCCAGAATCCGGACCTTGAAGGCTTTACATTGAAAGGGCCGAGGAGTTCGGGTTCGGGATACGGGCGTTCAGTCCGGTTGGGTGGCTTTCCCAAAGCTCTTTGATTCGGGTCGTCAAAGCCCGAATCAACAGCTAAAGGCTTAAGGCCTAGGCCTCGAACTTCCCAAGGCCTGACAATCAGGAAGCTCGCAAGCCCAAGCCCCGAAAACTTGGAACGCTAACGACAGCTTCTGGCTAATCCGAACTGTCCCACTGAAGCCCGATATCCTAGAAGCACCAAACTCAACAGCAAAACTTCCGGAGCCCGGAAATGAAAGCTGGGGCCTTGTCGCCCCACACGACGACCACCTCCTGACAAGAATCTGTGGATTGCTGTAGCTGACCCTGCGACGACGAGGCGGTTTCAGTGTACCTATAAAAATGGGTGGTTGCCAGTGGTTGCTGCATTTCGAAGTTGCTGTGGGTTTGGGATGGTCTGGCATCATGAATCCCAATCCTACGAGCTGAACCCCAATCCCGACCCCAATTCCGTGAAGATCACAGAACCCCATACGTCTCTCGCTACAGGTCCTCTTGTGGGGTTTCCACGTTGGTGTCAAGGAGGGCGTAACACAGGGTTTTGGTCAAGGGGTGAAAGCTTAGGGACCTGGTGGAGTCCGATTCGCAGCAAATCTTAAGCCATCGACCCCTCCGATAAACACTCTCCTTCCTCCCGCTGTCCAACAAGCCCAGAACCAAAAGATACATTCTTTCAATCCCATCGACAGTCTTATAGAGTCGTGTTTCTGTACCTCTGCCAGATTGAAACCCAAACCTCTCAGCAAGTGCACGCTAAACCCGAAACCCCAAGCTGCAACCCCTAAACGATCTGCCTGAAACCATCATAATATACTATACTGCGATGCTGTATGACATGAAATAGCTACATTAACTACATGTGTATTATGTGATAGACCATAATACCAAGGCCCAGCCCTAAACGCGGAACCCTGAAATGCCGGGCCATCGTCTCGGTCACATTGCCGCCAGCCCCTGGGTCGCTGGTGGCGTTGCTGCCCGGTGCCGACAGGCGGCCTCTTCGATGCAGAACCACAGTGTTTTGGGGGTCGGCAGGCTTTGTGAGGGCGTTCGAGCTCGGCTTTATAATTTGTTACTGCTCATTTTTTTTGTTGGGGGGGGTGCAGGGGTTTTGCGACTCTGGGCTGGTCGATAGAGGAGCACAGCCAACATGGACGGAAAAGACGTGGCTCCACATGTTTGCACTTCGTGCATCTATCTAGCCCGTAAGCCGAAACTGAGGAAAGCCGAACCCCAAGTCCGAAAACGTGCTAGAACTCCTGAACTTGTCGTGCTTTTGTTGCGATGTCCTCACTCGGCGAAGTATGTCTGCGATATTCTGCGAGGTATGCTGTTAAAGTGCTCGAACCCTTGAAGGAGTGGATCCACCTTCCCGGAAGACCGTCCGCTACTACTCTATGTGAGCGCAAGTCATCAGTTTCTCTGTCTAATCCCGGTGATCTGAGCCCTGACGCCCCTAACCCCCACTCGGCAAGGCCTAGAAAAGTTCTCTAGGAGGTCCGTGAAACCTGCCCCACTCCGAGTAATAGCAAACCCCTAAAGCAAAGCGGTGCCCTTATCGAGAAGAGCCGAGATCCCATAACCCTAAACCCCCAAAGATCCAAACCCAGGCTATCGAGATCCACACCGCGAACTTGTGAAAACGGGTGCCTAGGCGAAGCCAGCGGCTAGTTCTGTTGCAGCGAGCAGAGCCGCAGTAGCCTGGGCCGAAGGAAGTCTACAGGCTGTCGGTCATTTCCTAAAGTTTCAAGGCTGCGGGCTCGTAGGGTTCAGGGATGAGTATTCAATTTCTAAGCTTGAAGTAAGGTAATGCTAGCTGAATTGATCCTCTGACTTTTGTTTTGGAAGGGTGCCATGCGAGCGTCAACAGCGTGTTAGTGTTTGCAACGCAACGACCCAAAAGCCATGCACAGCAACAGAACTGCTACAAAGCCACTGTCTCCAGGGTCAATGCTGGACCCCAGCACTGGGGCTCACATTCAGAATCACTGCAATGCTAGAAGACTGAACCCTAAACCCCAAACGCGACATGCCCTTTAAACCCGCTAGACACTGAACGCGCTCTCTCAACTGCTACTTTCAGATCCATCACTGCCCTTTCCGTTCTGTTCTTTGCTGCAGCCAGGGAGCACTGGGCTTCGAAACAATCTTCCGGCGCCGTGGCTGGCAGTTGAGAGGCGATCTGGCACGGTTGAGGCGTAAGGGCTTTACAGTTAAGGGTTCTCGGCTTGAGGATTCAAGAGCTTCGGGGTTAGGTGCTGTCTGAGATCGAGGGTGAGGGTCGGTTGGCTTAAAACCTGGGGTTTGGGAGTTAGGGCCTAGCGATTTGGGGGTTATATGGTCTGGCGTGCCGGGTCTCCTGTGCAGTGGTTCTGCAAAGCTGCCGGAAGTCTTTACGGGAATTAGCGAAAGCTGCTGGAACTATTGGGAAGTACGCGGATTCTGCTGCTACACCAAACCCTCAACTGCCCTCCTCCCTTAACCTCACAGGACCATCAACCCGATTTGAAGAATTTGAAGATGAGGCCTTGCTAAATCTACGGACCATCAACGGATCTTGTCAACTGCGGTTGTATTATGACCCCGTGTAACAATCCGTATCCCTGAATGTTGCTATCGTTCTATTTTATTCTTATCTTTTTACCACGAAAAATGCGTTATCGTTTTGTTATCGCTATATGTTATTCTTATCGTTTTCCACGGAAAACCATCAAAACCGAACAGGGACATGTCAAGACTAAGCTTAACAGCACGGGGTTATCCTGAGAATCCATACAGGGACTGACGCTTGAGCATGGAAAGCTCATGACAACACAGAGTCGGGAGCATTTGGCCTGCCAGTACTCCACCTAGACCCTCATCTCCCTGTGCGCAGATACTAGACAATTCATCAGGGATGTACATCATATACGTGTCCTATTCATGACCAAGCTTGTTCCGGCCTTCCCACGACGCAGTATTGAGAGAATGCGAGACATCGCACACCGCGTGATTCAAGTCACATGTCGCGCCGTGAGACTGGAAAAGCTTGGCTCATCAGTCGGATCCTTCTAGGACACGTTACAAAGGGCAAGCACATTTTGTGCTTGTGAGACGCTGAAAAATACCTGGCCAAGATCTATGTTAAATATCATGATATCCTCAACAGAACGGTAGCAAGAATCCACATCGACGAATATCTGCGTCAATTCGGAGCCTCGATGGAAAAGAACAAGACCGCCAGGGCTCCAATTGCCTAAATAATGGGTTACTGGGTTACATTATGGATGGCTCGAGGCCCGCTGTTTGTTTAATTGGAGCCCCAGGGACCCTCATGTGTTCAAAGCGACAATCCATGAATAGGGCTCG